TGACATAAACGGACGACAACATTTCAACGACATGGGGATGTTTCGAAAATAACCATTTACTCCAATATCAAAACAGCTACGGTAAAAATAAAAAGACGTGCATCATCCCGGACATAATGCCACACCACATGCGAAATTACACAAAAATGCGACGTACGGAAGAATGCGTTTTGGCTGCGAACATCTTCCAAAAAACTTGGCATCTCTTAACCATGGGCAAAAACATCCGGAACCACTTATCAAAACCACCCCGTACCTGCATGAAGTTCCACCCCCCCCACTGCTATTCCAAACAACGCGTTTTTCTGGACCATTCCAATTCGCCTCGTAATTGTAGGGGTGCGTCTGCAATATAACATTGACCGCGAAAGCAGCAACGGCAAAAATACACATTCGTGCATCAACACGGGCATGCCCGCAGACGGCGTATAAAATTGCGTGCCGATTACACAAAGAGAACCCAGTGTTTTGACTGCGAACACGAAAAATCAGCCGATCACAACACTCCGTCCGGAGGTCCTGACCTCCTTCACGGAGTAACAAATACTAGCTGTACACAGTTTTTAGACGATGCCTTTCTTTTTCGAACACCATCCTGCCTATCAAATATCTTAAAGATACATAACCAATTACAAAATAAGAAATTCCTATATATTACTTCTGATGGGGGTAATAAAGAAACAAGCATATACATATTATGATATAGATTACATCGTTGTAATCGTGACAACTAGTTAATTCATAAGATTTTCATAATAAATACAAAACTGTAATCTGCGGCATAAAAAATAACTAACTGCGTTGCTTACTAAAGTATAATCCTTCTCAAAATTGCAGGTATCCAAGTGGAACAACAGTTAGATGTTTTGAGAAACCCAATCCATGACATACAGAAACGCTTTTAGGTGGTGCTACAGGACGAATTGTAACGGGGAAACCTACTAGATTGGCATAGTTGTAAATAAGGACAAATTATTTAGTTTATTTTAAGGACAAATTGCTTCATTTTATAAAGATGGGTTTCCTTTGGCCCACATCAAAGTTTATTTTCCTGTCCTTTCTGCTACTGATGGCTGGAGTTATAACCGTTTACGTGTACATCAGCAACAGCGGACGTATACAATCACAAGAAGGAACAGGCTTTTCTTCATGGGTTTGGAAAAAAGGTAAATATCGTCATTTCATCACTTTCACATACAAAAAAATCCAGGTTTACTATTTATTTGTAACATTACTACTATTTTCCAACATTTTGCCCCAATATTTCAAATATCTGAATGACATAGCTAGCGTACAAACATTCGGCTCAATGCACGTTCATTTTAAAGTAGGGACTCTTGGTCTGCAAAAGAACAATTTACTTTAGTCGGCCCCTTAATGCCCCTTAATTAGTTAGTTATACCCAGTGTATAGGTCAAGATAGTTGTATAAAGACACATGTTATCAAGATAACAAACGTTGCTTTTATGTCACATCAGAGCTTCATTATTGTACGTGTACACCTTATGTTTTTTTTAAGTAAGACGCTCCTTTTAATGTACCATTAACGATTTTATAATGTATATAATGTATTTTATAATGTATAATTTTTTTTAAAAATGAATGTTACAATTGGCGATATCCTGCCTGGTGCTGCGAAGTCGGTTCAGAATAAACCATAATTGATTGATCGATTGATTGATTGAAGATTAGCTTCTCTAGAAAACCCATGTTTTCACATGAAGCAGAATGTTATTATAAACTTAGTCTTTTTTGTTTGGCATTAACTTGTTAACATCCTCATTCCTTCGACGTTACAAAAAATCTCGTAAGGATAACAACAAACTTACACTGGTTAACTATTAAACGGCGCCCCACTGCGCTGAATTTACAAAGGCACTGGTCACCCATATTTCCACATGACCAGGGGTCGGATCGAACTATTGTTTTAAGTTTTAAGCATGTTTATATGTTGGTTTGTTTTTTCTGAACATTGTCCGGAAAAATCAAAGGATAGGCCAACTTAGTATGTAATCGGTACCTGATAATTGCACAAGTGCCATGTATGACACATGGTATATACTTCAAAAAGACCTGCATGTAATTAATCTACATGTAATTAAGTGTATGTATATATAGCATGCCAATGCATTACGGTTGGAAAATATGCCAATTATATACCTGTTTACTAACGTCAAACGTTACCAGCAATTATTAAATCTAAGAATGTCGAGGAAAAAAAGATAAAAAAACATAGTTTTGTTAAATACTCACATTAATGTTGCATTTACTTCAATTTTGAGTAATAATTTGACCTACAATTTTAACATCTTCATCTACATTGTAGCTTTCTCACCGTCATCAACAACTGTGGACACTAACGAAATGGGTAAGCCTTTAGTTGCACCATTGTACTCTATAACTAGCTTTCCTGCCTTCATCTTTAAAATTTCTTTCTTAACTTCTTTGATAGCTTTTGAAAGCTTTTAGAACACCAAGGTTTAAATTTTGCTAGAAAAGATGAAACGGGATGAAAGAGAATCATACATTTTATAGTTTTATCTAAATACAGTCAGTATTTATACGTTACAGTGTATCAATATTGTAATGCAATAATACTGATTGAATTAATACATTAAAGTATTAATACATTAAGGTGTATTAGTACTGACTGAAAAATTATGTCATTTGATTTTTTCGTCGTCGTCGAGAAACTTGGGAAAACTTAGCAGAAGCGGAGAAGGAACAGTCCAGAAGAATAACTAGGTTTAAAGCGTACTGTGAGAGGAACTTTCCAAAGGTACGTTATGGAGTTTGATTGCAAGACTGCAAAACCAAAAAAAGCTGCCTAGTACTTTTGGGGGTTTTGTCTAATACAGTTGCTACTACTGTCATTTTAGTAAATAAATGTAACCTTGTTCCTCTCTTGTAACTCTTATTACCTTCGC